TCTCGAACCATCCTATTTGTCCCGTTCTATTTTTTTGTACAAAAAATAATATATATATATATATATATTATATTATTTATATTTATTTAGCATTAACAGGCTTTGTAGTTTCAGTTTGAAGTTTCTGTTTTAATTAATAGGCTTTGTGTAACTTTGAATGCTTGGTTGCAGCTTTGAGACAACTAGTGCGTATCCCGTGCGATGCACGGGTGAACAATATTAAATAATAATTATAAATAAGTATCGAGTTCGAGTCACCCAATGAAAGAAGTGGAGAACCACTATTGATCTTCTCTTAAAAGAGCAAGAAAGATATTATAAATTAAAGATGAGGGTAAACGATATTACTTAATAATTATAAATTAACGATGTGGGGTTAACATGTCATATAATTTACGGTATATCAGTTTATTATAAACGATATAAAATTAGTTTGTTCAAGAGAACATAAAATTTGTATGTTTAAACAATTAAAACTCCTAAATATTATATTAACATATATAAATTATCTAAACTTTTCTATATTATTATTAAAAGATGTGAAGTCGCATAAAACTTTTTAAATTTTTTTGTAAAGAAAAAATATCTAAAAACATTAAAAAGTTTACATTTGTATGAAAGATGTTTTTTTGAATACGACATGATAAAATATTGTATAAAAGTATCTAAAATATTATAAGCCTAAATAAGTACCTTATAAAGTTTGAAAGAAAATTTACCTAGTATATATAAAATAAATATTGACATGATGCTGAAAATTATGACAATATTATCGTACCTGAAAATTTGAGTATAGATGATTTCAAAATTATTATTATTATTCTTCTGATTATTTTGAGTATAAAAGATCTCAAAATTATTATTATTATTCTTTTAAATAATTTGAGTACAGAAGATTTAAAAATTATTATTATTTTTTAGTTATTGTAAATATTATTATTATTATTCTTTTAAATAATTTGAGTACAAAAGATTTTAAAATTATTATTTTTTTTAGTTACTGTAAAAAAAAAAAAAAAAATTACGCATAAAATTCCACGCTTTATGCAGATTTATCAATTTTATAAATAAAATGGAATTTACTATATATTGAATGGAGACTAAGACAATTTTGAAAAAAAAAAAAAAGAATTTGTCTATTTTCAAAATTATCCTCTTGATTTTT